AGCAAAGATGGCTGCCTCGACTTCCACATTGTCGTGAGAGTCCAGGCTTTGGCGAATACTGTGGTGGGCATTCTTCCTCTCTGGGATGATGGAGGCCAAACTACCAAGCATCCTGAACACATAAGACAGCAGGAATTTTCTTTTGAAAAATCTGAGATGACTGAAAAAAACTGTGCACAACAAAGGTGAAGAAGAAAGTGCAGGCAGGGTGGAGTGGATGGAGACTAGTATTGGGGTAATTTGATGAAGATGTTACAATTCTCACAGAGAATGCACAGGATAAGAAAGGAGGGACACCTCAGGTTGAGCATATTGGAGTAAAAGTTAGAGAGGCAAGGCTGAGATGTTTTGGACATGTGCAGAGGAAGGACACTGGATACACTGCAAAGGATGCCAAAGCCAGGCAAGAAGGCCACAAAGGAGGTTTGTAGATGTAGTGAAGGAGGACATGCAGAGGGTTGACAGAAGAGTGTGCTAGGGTCAGATGCGCCACTCGTGTCTATTCATGATTTCACATTATTACCTCAGAGTGATGGCTCTGGCCACAGGGTCATTACTGTGGATGACTGAAAACACCCGTTTCACAAACTCATCCACATTGAGAATCTTCTCCAAATGTTTCTCACTCTGTTGAGTCACTTTGAGTACACAGAGACGTAGAAAGTTGTTACTGGAAAAGAGAAATAAGCTTCTATTAATAAAGATGTTTGTGGCACAGTAAAGCTCATCTTTAACTTCTCGCATCTTCTAAATAGATCTCACCAACTTCAACAACATTCTATTAAAAAGTGCATAAGATGCACACCTTTATTTATTTAGGCACTTTTGAATAAAATTAAAGTTTGAAAAATCCACTTAAGTAAGAATAGTTTGTTTCTTATTCTTTCTTAAAGTGAAATAAATTCACTTCCCCCCCCCCCAAATCCTCTTATTTGGAACCTTCTCTCTCTCTTTTCATACAACTTTTTTTATTTCATTTTTTTCATGAAGAATAATTATAGCTTGTTTATTTTTAAAACCTTCCTCACACCAACATTTTTTCCTCTGTACTTACATCTATTCATACTTTTCATACAACACAATTACACATTAACACGCCTGCCCTCAATGATCAGTTTACTGGGTATGCTTAGTTTAAAGTATCTTGTACTTAAAGATTGATAAACATCAAGTTCATTAAAGACATCAAAGACACGCAATTAGACATTAAATATAAGAATAAAATCTATTATCTGTTATTTTTTGGTGTTTCAGAGTTTATTTTATTTTTGCATTAGCTTGAGAGTGATTATGTGAACTGCATGACGGCTTAGGCTTGTGGTTAAATTGTACGCTGAATTACTAGGAGATGTTATTAAAATTTTCTCTACACTCTGAAATGCATTCGGATGCCTATATTAGATTCAGCTATAAAGAAAGTGGGAAACAACTGTCAGTAAAGTAGCCTTTAACAAATAAATACATAAATAAATGATCATCTAAAGCAATAGTGATGTGCGATACCACTGATTTCCTTTCCGATCCGATACCAAGAGAGACGTCTGTCTCGCCCTAGCAGCACCTGTCCCTGTCCTCCTCTTCAGTTCGCCTCAACATAAGCTTATCATATTCTGTGATGTGATTTACTCAGAGGTGTTTGACGAGGTCAGTGGTGTTGCCACAACAACGTGTCCACACAGGACTCTGTTTGCGCGCAGCCATTGTTGTGAGTGTGCACGCCAGGGGCTGCGACACATTTATACAGCCGTATTCCGCATATGACTATGAAAGGCGTAAGAGGAAGTAGTTCCTTCCAAATTAGACGATCCGAATTGTATAGTTTCTTTCCACTGCGTTCATTTTAATGGAAATCTACAAATTTACCCCAGAGTTCTAAAATATCGATATTATAATATGAGAATCGATTCTAGAACATAAATTGCTGGTATCGGAAGAATCGATATTTCAGTATCGATCCGCACACCACTATAAAGCAATCATACCCGAGCCTGAAGATGTCTGCTAGTTTTAAAAATGCAGAGTTGATGAGGATGGGAAAGGGGTACTTCTGGAAGAGTTTGGGGAACAAAACCACAGCCTCACACTGCTCACCGAGCTTCCCCGACCGCAACCCTGAAAATAAAGGAATTTCTCCAGTCACAACAAAGCAGGAAGTTTCCATATAGTCCCTAACACTTAACACATGACGAAAAACGACACACCGGATCAGAACACAATCAATGAACCATTTGCTAAGTCTTTAGCCAGCGAGCTAACACACCTTTGTCCAGCTCCATGAGAGCGGAGTTAGCGTCGAGCTCCTGTTCGCCATAACAAGCCTCTGACAGGAATGAGCGTGCGGTGGAGAGCGACATTACTGTGCAGTTTTTACTCCTTAAAAGAAGATACACCCATGAGATGTTAGCATTTCACTGTTCAGGCGGCATTCAGGAAAACACTGAGGATACAGAGACAGAACATCCGGTCTGGAGATTGACTTTCATAATAAAACGCCAGTTGTCATGGTCGCAAGCTAACAAGCTGTTTTAGGGACTGTTGTATTTAAAAATATATATTTAAGTTAAATATCTAAGTGAAATATGTATTAGTATATTATTCTAGTATCTCCTTAGCGTCAAATGATAGATTATGGATGAATCGGTAACACCATAATACTCTAAATAACAACAATTACATTGGAGACATCAAAGTCATGGTGACTTTTAAACCTTTGTTACTTTAGTGCTTCTGTTGAAAAAAACATTTTACGTGTGATTTTCATAACTTTTGTTGCAGTCACAGATATTCAATTTCTAGTTCAACACTGCGCACAACCTGAAATTGTGTGTTGTCACACAACTTCCAATTATACTTGCACCACTAAATGAACCATCTACATGCAGTTTGGCAGTGGTTGTATACACCAAAGTGTATTTACTAAACTAACAACTGTCTAACAGGATAAACGTGCTATGCAAAGAGGGACTAGTTATTAGTTTAATCGTTTAAAAAATATTTATTTATGCTGAAGGGGCGTCTCCTTCTCCAGTTATGGTGGGAAAGTTTACAAAGAAAGCGGAAGCAGAAGCGCTCCTGCCCAGGAAGTCGTCGTTTCCACCAATGGTTGCGCGTAACGCAAGTTTAGCGGGGAATTCAGTCCTTCTGCTCGGACGATCTCTTCGCGGGAAATAGTACCCCAGCTTCGGCACAGAAAGCGGACCGGCAGAAGCTTGACATCGAGGAAAACGTTACGTTTTTATACAAAAGCCTTTGGATCGAGTTGTGCTGCAGTGCAGGGATGCTTTTCCGCTCAGTGGTGGACAGAGGAGTGGGCAGACGGAGGCAGAATGGTGAGACAGGGATGGGTTATTTGCACGGCCATGGCTGGGCTTTAGCTAGTCTAACATGGAAGATAATGCAGTCTAACATCTCTGCTTTATGTTTCGAGGAGTCATGCTGCCAAGAGGGCTCCTAGAGTATCATTTGCACTTGCTTTTCTTTTGCCTTCAGTGTGGACTTTAACGTTTAATTCTACTTTCTTCGTGAATGTCTTTGTCGGGCTGTTCAGACTCCAACTGGTGGCACACCAACAATATGTCATGCCTTATAACCGTAGTACATATTAGGACAGTTTCTCATATTTTGATTGGCTTTGGTTTATACAACTCAAGAGCAAGTGAGAAGACAAGCGTGCGGATCTATGCTCGTAGGTCACTTTAATAGGTACACCTGGCGAGTTGGACCCTCTTTTGTCTTCCAGGCGTAGATTCAACAAGTTGGTTAAAGCGTCCCTCAGATATTTTGATTCATATTGACGCGATGGCATCACACAGTTTCTGCATATTTGTCGACTGTACATCAACGATGCAATGTCCTGTTTTACCACATCCCAATGGCTTGAGATCTGGCGTCTGTGGAGGCCATTTGAGTAAAGTGTGCTCATCGTCATGTTAAAGAAACCAATCTGAGAGGAAGTGAGCTCTGTGACACGGTGTTATCCTGCTGAAAGCAGCCATTACAGCCATTAGAGAAGGGTGTCACGTAGTAAAGGGTAACGTATAGAACAATCTGAAGTAGGCCAGGCTACTACAGACTACCAGACTAATGGAAAGTGGGAAGATGTTTGAGTATATTGTGAAAATATTAAAGAGTTATTTATAAAATAAGAGCCTCACTGTTACCAGTCTAAATTCATTACCCATACAGGTTATTATAGTAAATGGTCCCAAAAGAAAAAAAAAACTCAAAATCTTCTGGTAATTCAAAGAATACATATTATTTTTTTTCCTGTTAAATAAAATAGGAATTGCCCATTGATTCATTTATAATGAAACCCAGCAAATCTTCTATTTGTTTATTCATTTATTTTATTTTTCATGGTGTCTATTACTTATTTTGGTATAGTATAGCAGGCCAGGGGTGATTTGTTTGTTACTAAGAAGGCTTTAAAAATGACAATGAATCAAATCTCTGGACCGTTAGTTTGGACTTTCGTGACGTGATCGGTTCACAAGTACAAATGATCCCGTGTGAATAGCAGCCCCAGGATCCTGTTCTTGACCTACAGGAGCGGCAGCTGGTGTGGTCTTCTGCTGCAATGACTCCAAGGTTCAATGTGTTGCATCTCAGAGATGCTCTTCTGCATATCTTAATTGTAACAAGTGATTATTTGAGTTACAGTTGCCTTCATATCAGCTCAAAGTGGTCTGATGATTGTCCTCTTAAATCTGCAATGCTTTTTAGTTAGTTTTACTGCCGTGTCTCATTGATGTCCTTCCTCTGACCATGCATCATTCTCTTCAGCTCTCCCTGCAGATCCCCGGTCCAGGTACCCTCTGAGTTCCCTGCTTGAAGGCTACCGATGCGTCCGACATGATGAACATATCTCCTATGGGAACCTTGGCGACTCTGTGCCACCGTTTGGATTAGCTTTCTCCTCTGGTAATTCATTTGTGCTTATCGTTGTAAGTGCAGAGAGAGCAAGGCCCTGTTGTCATTAATCTGTCTAACTGCAGTGTCTCTTTTCTCCTGTTTGTTTTCAGCCAGGGACCTGCAGAACATCCTCGCAGCAGCTAATGAAGAAGGCATTGTTAGGCTCTACAACACAGAGAGCCGTGAATATCCACTTCTTAAAGGTATTCTTGTGACTTGTGTTCATAATTGTCATGCCACGTATTTTGAAATGTTGGTGGCTAAAAGTGTGTTAACCTTGCAGCATGGCTGGCTCATGAGAATGCTGTCTTTGATATCGCCTGGATGCCAGGGGAGCCTCAGTTAGTAAGTGCAAATTCATTCTGTTTAGTCAGAGAATTGCAGAAAGTCAGATTTTTTTGTGTCACCCTCAAATGCATGACTCATGTAATTGCATCTGCCTTACCTGGGATTACTAATTTTTGGATTTTTTTTGTTGTTCTTTATTTTGTTGGAACCCATTAAAAACTCTGAAGCCTTTTCTTATTATTCTTTGGTCATCTGTGATCTCTTCAGGTAACTGCTGCGGGTGACCAGATGGCCAGGCTCTGGGATGTGAAGTCTGGAGAGTTGTTAGGCAGCTTCAAGGGCCACCTCTGCAGTCTTAAGTCTGTTGCATTCGCACCAGAGGAGAAAGGTATACCTTTTACTGAGCTAACACTGTGTTGGCTGTGCATTGATGATATATTGTTGTATCATGTGATTAATACATTTTCTTTTGTCACGCAGCTGTGTTTTCTACTGGAGCCAGAGATGGAAATATTATGATCTGGGACATGAGGTGCAGCAAAAAAGGTATTGATCGGAACAGTAATAGACAATTTAGCAATACATTTTAAATCATATCTTTAGCCACTTTGTTACTAGCAGCCTGTTGCAAAAACACTTATTTTTTCCTGTTTCTTTAGTTGAATTTATGAAAAATGCCACGACAATAATCAAACTTATGTCTTTCCCTCAGATGGTTTCTACAGACAGGTGAACCAGATCAGCGGAGCTCACAACAAAGCAGAGACCAACCCTCCCTCTAAAACGAAGAAGAGACGGGGCGGCATGCGCGGCATGGCTCCGAGCGTGGTGAGTTTTCTCGACAATCAGCCGTTTAATGGAATGAAAAGAGCGATGCTGCAAATGGAAATCTAATCTTTAGCTACTCCATCTTATTTGCAGGACTCCCAGCAGAGCGTTACAGTGGTTTTGTTCAGGGATCAGCACACCCTCATCTCTTCGGGAGCTGTTGACGGGTAAGAAAAGAAAGGCTTCTTGTCACCTTTTTCACATTTATAAGAGCCGTTACCAGACATTCTCGATCATTTTCTGTCTCCTTCAATTCCCTTTATCAGAGTAATCAAGATGTGGGATTTGAGGAAGAACTACACTGCACACCGTCATGATCCTGTACCCCTGCAGACATTTCCGTATCCAGGTTCTTGCACTCGGACGCGACTGGGTTAGTTCCCTAACATGCCAAGCATCACCTTTACCTGAAATGTGCAAATAACACACAAATAACCCAGCTGTCTTTTTGACGTGCTGCAGGATATTCCGGACTCGCTCTGGACGCCGCGAGAGCCAACGTGATGTGTAACTGCACAGACGACAGCATCTATATGTTCAGTGTCTGCGGAATAAAAACGACACCAGGTAAAGAAGCTCCTCGCTCTGGCTCAACAGTGCCTGTATGTGCACTAGAGTAGAATAGGTCTTTTTTTTCCAGTCACCCATTCATCACTAGATGGCGCTAATGCGCTTTGTTATGGGAGCAAAGCATCCAGCAGCAGAAGCCTCTTGATGCAAATAAAAAGCCATAGATGCTTTGTTTTCTACTGTTACGTGTTAAAGTCTGATCTGAAGTTCTGAATAGCAGTGGGTTAGGTGCTGTTTGACAGGTTGCAATACAGGAAACCATTTCAAAATGCATCATGACAGTTTTTTAATGGAAACGAAAGAGGAAAGTGTTACTAAATGTACAGAAACTAGAGGAAAGTTCAGCATTTCTCTTTTTATTGTTATATACACAGTACTGTACATTTTATCCTTTTATTTGATTGTCCTTAGACTTGTTTGTTCTCTGATCTTTGTGAATATTTTGTCATTTTTAAGAATTATGTTTCATCCACAGTGGCAGTTTTCAGCGGTCACCAGAACTCCTCGTTTTATGTAAAGTCCAGCGTTAGCCCAGATGACCAGTTTTTGGCCAGCGGTTCGAGTGACAACCACACGTACATTTGGAAGGTGCGTTCTCGGTTATATTTTACCTGACGTAATAAAAATTGCTTTATTTTCACTCTGGGGGTTTTCTGGTGTTGAGGAACTGCGAATTTAAGGTTTTTGAACATTTTTTTGTTACATTTCAGATCTCCAATCCTGAACTTCCTCCCATGACGCTTCAAGGTCATAGTGAGGAAGTGACGTCTGTTGCATGGTGTCCGACAGATTTCACTAAGGTAAGACTTGAGTGGTTATACAAGTATGAACACTGCTGTGAATTGGAGGAGTGT